TACCCAGCGACAGTTAGTGGCTTCTGTAAGTTAGTAAATCGTACGATAGAGTTAATTGACTGTCAACGTGACGAAAGAAGAAAGTGACTGTGGACAACCTCGAAAGGCCCCCTCAAGTTGGAGCGGTGTCGACGCTCGGGCTGCTGCCGACGGCCAAGGTCTAGGTTCAATCACCATCAGTCACACCCAGATACACACCACATCACCATTCTTTCCCTTGCACTACACAACCACATGCGACCTGACCGACTCCGGAGGGACCAGTCGCCTTGGATAGGTAAGTAAGCTTCATCCAAATTCCTTCCGGTCGACTGGCCGTAGTATAACGCTCCCCCATATATTTTAATGTAATTAGGAATTTCCACGTGGCCACATTGAGCCCGACCTACGTCTGCTCGGGAGGACTTCAGCTCATGGGCCCCTGAGGATCTGATCCTTTAAGGGAGCAGCCGTAGGCCGTAACAAAGACCTTTTTGTAAACTGTGAATCACAAATAAACTATTTGATTTGATGTATAAACTAAAGTATTGAATATTTAGCTTTTATATTATTATATTTATATGTGTAGTCACGGTGTGTGCTGTAAAAAAAAAGAAAATGGATGCGAGCTTTGAAAAAAGACAGTCAGATAATCTGTCAAAAGTGGATATTTTTATGGTTGCGCGGTATTTTTCAGAAAATTACGATTTTTTATCATCAGAAATGCGTGGAATAAAGCTCTAAAGGTAAGTTATTATTAAAAGATTACGAAAAGTATACAGCTTTACCATTGATTAGTAATTAGGCAGTAATACATAGGTAGGTATTAATTGACCGAACCACGAAGTTGCACATGATTTACAACGACATAAAATGAAAAAAAATTGCTTAAACTTACTAATGCAGTGAGTATTAATCAATCCGTATTGTTATTTAGTACCTAGTGATACGTGAAGAAATTTTGTTGGTTACGTAGTTCGTCAGTGGTTGCAAACCTATGGTCCTAGTTTTACTTTGATTTACTTTTGAATAAACTGATTGCGGTATTGTACGTTGGTAGTTGGTACCTATTCTGTTTTGAAAATGCAATGGTCGCAAACATTCAATGCGTGTATAATTAAACTGATTTTGATGAAATTTTGCATTAAGGTATAACTTGATCTACAGGAATTTATCTTCTCAATCGGACTTTTATTCCCAAGGAGCGTGATTTAACAGAAATTAAAAAAAAAACAGAAAATAAAGGTTACTGATAAATAAATAACGTGATAAGAAAAATATGGAGTAATAAATATAGAGAGAATAAGAAAAATATAACAATAAACACTACTGGTGGCTTCGACGAGTCGACTTGTGACGTCACATCGCGATGCGGAGCTAAGCGGTTGCCCTTCCGTAAAACACCACTTTACTCATCAATATTTCAGTCAGTTTTAAAGGTAGAAAAAAAATAAGAATACCGTTGAATTCGTAATTTTTTTATACAATATTTTGATACCCTTAATAAAATTGGGTGGCCAGACCCAATAATGCAATAAAAGAAATTAATAAACAATGTAGTATAAAACAGTAATAAAAAAAAATTGGAAGAAGTTCACATTTATCTAATTCACTTGTTATATTGTCCAATATTTTTGCAGATTGATTGAAGAAATAGTAATTTTGACAAAGAAGTACCTTTCAATCTATTTCTTTGTTGATAAAGAGCTGAGCCAGCTATTGAAAATAATTTAAAAATAACATTTTGTACCTATACTGACTTAAGGATAACTCAAAAACTATTGGTCAGACTTATATGGATTAATTTATATGGGATCACATGTAAAGCACCAAATTTAAAATAAAAAGAAGAATGTCGAAATCGGTTCACCCAGAAAAAAGTTATGAGGTAACATATAACAAGAACATACAGTGGAATTGAGTACCTCCTCCTTTTTGAAGTCGGTGGATAATCGCTCAAATGGCGCTGATGTAGCGATTGTGGTCAAATATATCACCGCAAGTTTTCTTTTTAATTTTAGATAGGTAGAACCGATAACATTGTTCGAAACGTGCATTGGATCGTGTTTAAGATCAACCATCGGATTTTTTTTTAAAACAACCGATAAAGAAACAGATAACCAACAACGACATCAATAACAAACAAAATCAGTGACAACTGCGACATTACAGTTGACACTTGACAGTTAAATTTGATACCCCATAATGATATATTTTTAAGTTATCGATGCGTTCAAGCATTCTGAATTATTCAAAATTTTAAATATTTTAGAGGAGATGCAAGATTTAGTTTTTTTTTTTTTATAGGAGAGGGGGCAAATGAGCATGCGGCTCACCTGATGGTAAGTGACTACCGCCGCCCATGAACAACTGCAACACCAGGGGAATCGCAGATGCGTTGCCGGCCTTTTAAAAAGGACTACGCTCTTTTCTTGAAGGTCCCTAAGTCGTATCGGTCCGGAAAAATCGCTGATGGTAATCGATTCCACAAGGAGGTCGTGCGAGGAAGAAAACATCTTCTAAATCGCACAGTGGTGGACCGCCAATCATCCAGATGGTGTGGATGGTATCAGGAGTTCTGCCGCGATGTGCGTTCGTGAAATTTGGCGGCTGGGATTAATCCGAGCTATTCCTCAGAGCACTCCCCATGGTAGATGCGAAAGAAAATGCAAAGGGATGCAACATCTCTTCGCAGTGCCAATGAATCGAGCCGATCGGAAAGGGCTCGGTCGTCAACGATTCGAGCCGCTCTGCGTTGGATGCGGTCAAGTGGAAGGAGCTGGCACTGCGGAGACCCTGCCCAGAGATGGGAACAGTATTCCATGTGAGGCCGAACTTGCGCCTTGTAAAGTTACAGGCGGTGTGCCGGCATGAAATACTGTCCCGCTCTGCTGAGCACGCCAAGCTTTTTAGAGGCCAATTTGGCCCTCCCTTCCAAGTGACCACGAAACTGCACGTCGCTCGATATGTCGACTCCGAGGATACCGATACTGGCTGAGGCAACAAGGGGAGTGCCTTGAAACTGAGGAGATACGACAAAGGGGTTCTTTTTAGCGGTAAACACGCAAACTTGTGTCTTCTGAGGATTAAACTGGACTAGATTTAGTCGCCCCCAATCCGAGACTTTGTTCAGCAAAGACTCGACTTCAGACACAAGTTTGTTCCGGTACTCAGCGACGTTTTCCCGAGAAATATTGGCACGGCCGGTGTATAGAGCATCACCAGTGTTGTCTTCCGCATAGCAATGAATGTTACCAGTTAGCAACATATCATTGATATGCAGAAGAAACAGCGTTGGTGATAGCACACAGCCTTGTGGAACACCAGCGTTAATAGGCTTGTAGTCAGAGCATGCACCGTCTACAACGATTGATTTCGCGGATTCGCAAGTACCCAATAATCGATTATGGGTTTAATGAAATCGATGTTTCGATGTTTGACATGTGGCAACATCGATGTTTTCATTCTGGACATCGATGATCATCGACCATCCCTACCCTGCCTCAGCCTGACCCATAGATAAATATATATGTAGCAAGCTACTGTATTTTTATCACCTCCGCTAGGAGTAAAAGTATTCTGTGATTTTTAGTTTTTATATTATTATTAAATATTTTAAAGGTTAAAATTTCCAATATGGACTATCGATATTTGAGGTTTGGGGGGGGGGGGGGGGGGAGAGGGCTACCCAAATGTGCCATCCCCACCCTGCGGAACTCCATGGTTATGTAGATATTCATGGTTAAAGTTTTGAGGTTAGAATAGCACTATTTAGTTAAATAGAATGATTTTGATGATGTTTTTAGTGTCTGATGAAAAAAGAGGGTAGGCTCATTTGAGTCCAACACTTGCACTTGCGTAGTAGTAGGCACAAGCGGCTCCATTGAGTCCAACACTCGCGCACTACTTGAAGACGGCACAGAAGAGGAGGCCGTGACAAGCGGCTCATTTGAGTCCTACACTCGCACTTCACTCAACTCTTCAGACACAGAAGCATGGGGCTTCGGAGACGCCATGGTAGTCAAACGTTGTAAGCTTACAGGAGTACGTAAAACGATCTCAACTGCAAGGGCAATAGGTGACTAACGGTGACTGGAGCTGGACGCTATTAAACAAAATGGCCGTTGGTATCGTTAGTGATTCGCAAACAGTATCGATACCTGAGTAATATCGATACTTCCTATTCAATACCAAGTATTTTTGTACTCGATACACTTTTTACGACTTTTGAGTAGATATCGATACTTTCTGAAGTAATATTTACTTTAGAACAAGATTCTATTTAAAGTAAAAATAATTGGATGAACTACGATTTACAAATGCTGATTTTAAATTGAAACGTAAAACTCAAATACAACGATAACACTAGATCTAGAATCCATTTTAAGAGAAAAGAAAATCTCCTTCGTCATAAAAAGTAGGGTGACTGATTCAGATGGATTTCTTTATCTATTTGGAGACTGCTACGTCTCCGGCGCTGCGGGAAGAGCAGCCTCTACGCCTTTGCGTAACAAATCACAGGCATCCCTCCTCGCCTCCGCAGCTTCGGCTTGTTGGTCGCCTTCGGCGACCAGCCTCAGCCGCTCCGGCTCGTCCGATGCCTACGATTTGTTACAGAAGGCGGAGGCTGCTCCCCCTACGCGCCTCCGGCTTTTTAAAACCACTCTAGGGGTAGGACAGACTAGTACCACGTGGAGTCGGGGTCAACCAATTCGGTTCTTTGACATAAGTTGAACCTGACCTATTTTATTTGTTATCTACCCTAATAGGTACTGTTAAAATAAAACAAATTTGAATAATCAAGTCGATGTTGCTAGTAGGAGGTCGTCCTATAACACTTTTGCATATCTTTCTTTGAGGTAAATTTGTGTTCACGAACGCAATTTAACATTAACGAAATGTACTCGATACCAAGTAGTATTGATACTTTTCATGCGATACTTGGTATCGAGTAGGTATCGATACTTTCAAAATTTTCGGAACCCTACACTAATTGAAACGTAAAGTGATTGACGTTTGACATAATTTGTAATTACGTGTTATTTGCCAATTTGTATGAAAAGTTAAAAAAAATATATCTCATGAACCGTAAGTTTCCGCAACCTAAAACTTTGCAAAACGGTTTCTTTTAGTGAGTACTATCTACAAAAAAAATATGGGCATTTAAATCGATGGTCCATATTGGAAATTTTATCCCGGTTTGTTGAAGAAAACGAGAATTCAATTCAATTATATTAAAGCTATAGGAAATAGCAATGGCCTTTAGTGAAGTTTGTAGAATTTGTTTATGCGGTAATTTACGCATGTTTGTACTAAAGAATACTGGTCTTCAAAATTTGTACAAAACATTGACGAACACTTCCGTAAGTTTGTTAATATTCCTTAATATTGCAAATTGAAGGTGCGGTAATTTGTTGTTTTCGTCGGACAAATACATTATAACTTGCCGCATATAAAATGCGATAGATCGGGGTTGGGGCTAGGCTAAGGTACAGCGTTAAATATTGTGACAAATAGAACCAGAACTTGAAAAACAATAATTAGCCTGAAGTCCTACCACTTATTAGAAGAGACACCAAGACTTAGTTGCTTGCAACATGTTTTACGAGCCCCCGTGGGCTCAAACTTTACTTTTTATGGTTTGCCCCCTGCCCTGCCGTTACCATGGTCGCCACCGCAGCCAAGAATAGCGGAGCCGCCAGGGACTGGAGGCCGTTTATCTGTGTCGTTGCTCATACATTGCCACGCTTGGCACGCGGGTTGGCAACCACAGCTTTTTTTGGTACTTTCTGTTATCAGAAAGATGCTGCTGCCCATCTTCTGCCTCAGTTTCCCTCTGTCGCCTCTTATGACACACACGGGTCGATATGGGGTAGTGGGTATTCTTACCCACCACTACAAGGGTAAGAATACCTTAACCAATTCAAGGACTATTACACAAAGCTTGAGGTTTGGAATGCTAAGACTATATTAAAAGAGTCATGTATGTACGTGGTAGACCACCATGCTGCAGCTATATTAGTAGTATAGTTGCAGCACAAATGAGTCTGATCGTCCGGGGTAGGACCACACTCTCACAGAATACCAGTGTAACATTGCAGCTCAACACTGCTGTGTTTCGTGTGGTGAGTGTAGAGAACCAGAGAGACCCTATTTACTGGACAAGAGGCATTCCATCTTAGTCCTCACGGGCGACAACGCATCTGCATTTTGATTCGCAAACGAGGATAAATGTAGATGTCTATGGGCTACAGTTACCATTGATGCTCGTTTGTCACCCTATCCTGTAAAAAAAAAGTAGTCATGTTTCGGTTACCGAGTTTCCTACAAGAACAAGGCAATCCATACATAAGAAAGCCTCTAAGAACTTTGGCATAAAGGAAACGTAGAAACTTGATGGGATAATTTATGTCAAACTGTCTAGTAATGAAAGGACGAAGATCTCTATGAAAGAAGAGTTGGATATTCTTATTGGAAAATTTCCTGTAATTAGTTCTCCGATTACTTTTTGCTTGACTTCTGTAGATATTGATACCAAGATTTTAGATTATTGATATTGAGCAGTTTGTATGGTGTCTAAATAGACCCCACAACGCCCTTCTGTAATGACTGCTATTGATATTAAATTAAAAAGGTTAAAACTGTTAGGGAATGTATATTGTTATTAATATCAATTTTAAACTAAGTGACAGTGGCCTAATAGTTAAGGGTGCAGATTGCAAACTCAAGAAAGTAGTAAGTTCAAATCTGTCATTCAATTATTATTGTAGCATAATTGAACTGAAAATAAGCATTTTCAGTTTACTTGGAGCAAAAAAGATGTTAAAATTTGAAAGTAGGTTTAGTAAGATTGAATTGTGAGTTTGATAATTAATACAATCAGGCGTTACTTTGTGGAAATCCATTATAATGGAACTTCTTTATGTGGAATTAAGCAAATTAGTTTATAACAACAGACACCTACGAACTTCTAGAGAATTGTGTCATTATAGCTTGCGGAACTAAGACAGATGGGGAAACATAACTCTCGAGTGGTAGCCTCGTACTAGTGGATAGATAGATAGTGGCAACCTGGTAAGACAGGAAGTCGATGGCTGTAGGTGGCTTAGAACTGTGTTGTTGCGGTGATGATTATCCACTAGGTTGTTGCACTTCATTCATTTCTTCTGCCTTGAAGTCTGTCTGGGGAGTTATCATCCTCTTACCTATTTCTGCCACCAAGCAGTGGCGTGTTTTAGTGTGAAGGACATTGAGTCAGGTGGGTAGTAACAGGCTGTGAAGCATTACGTCTTAGTCCTCAGTGGAAACATTGCATCTATAGCCTTTGCTTGAAATTTGTTGCAGGTGCATTGTAAGTTTGCTTGTCACTTCAATATTATAAAAAAAATGATGTTGATGAAGAGAATTGAGATGGCCAATAGATTTTATTACAAACTTAAATATATAAGTAGTTTTCCATATTTATTCTGAACTTGCTATTTTCAGATAGATGAGAACGAGGGGCCCATAATTGTATGTTTCACTTGTCATGCGAGACTCAATCGTTGCAGAAGCTTACAACAACAGGCTATTGCGTCAAATGCAGTTCTGGAGCAGTTGCTTGCAGGAGGGTCCATGGTATTATCTATTCCATTCATTAAAACCTATAAAAGTCCACTGCTGAGCGTAGGCTCTCTCCTCATAGATTTTTTTTATATAGGATAAGGGTGACAAACAAGCACACAGTCCACCTGATTGTAAGTGGTTGCTGTGGCCCATAGACATCTACATCTATCCTCGATTACGAATCAAAATGCAGATGCATTGTCACCCGTGAGGACTAAAATGGAATGCCACGTTTCCAGTAAAAAGGGGTCTCCGGTTCTCTACACTCACCATACGAAACACAGGAGTTGTAGCACGAATGGGTCGGCTCGACCGGGAAAGGACCATACTCCCACAGAATACCAGCGTAAATTAGGAACTTAATGCTGCTGTGTTTCGTATGGTGAGTGTAGAGAACCGGACACCCATTTTACTGGAAAAGAGGCATTCTATCTTAGTCCTCACGGCTGACAATGCATCTGCATTTTAATTTGCAAATGAAGATCAATGTAGATGTCTATGGGCCACAGCAACTACTTACCATCAGGTGGACTGTGTGCTCGTTTGTCACCCTTATTCTAAAAAAAAACTATTACTTTATTTTAGTGAGACAACCAGTGCCGAGGACCAAAAAAAAATAGGATTAGTGAACACTTTTGGAATGGTGAAAAATGACACTGAAGTGCTTTCTAAATTATAATATCAATTAGGAAAACGGTCATTAAAATGTATTGAACAAGGTGGTAGACGTTTCAAAATTGTATAAAAAATACAGTGTTGCATGAGTGCTTAGGCTATTAGTAAGTTAAGCATTTGATTTTTTTAAATTATTGTAATCTAGATCCACATCTTTTAAACACACAGTCTTTGAAGTATGTTGTCGTATCGCCTCTTATTTTTAGCAGTTAACTATTATTTACAAAGCGTTTATGGATTTGTACTGTAACCACAACATTCTTCCGGAATTAGCACTAATTAATAATCAATGCATAAATATGTTTAACTAAAAGTCAGTGTATGTATTATGATTATAACAATAAACTAATTGGGGTGTCTGAGTGTGTGTGTTACAAAGATAGATCTTTGTCGATTTATGGCATTTGTGAGTCCCTCTGTCCCTTTTTATGACATCTGCGGGATGGTATGGGGTAGTATGGATTCTACTACGCCACTACTACAATGGCTTTTTTTTCTTATTTAAACAAAGAATTTGGTTTCAGTCAATACCAAATCCGCATGAGCCTAGATATGAGATTCAATTCACACCAATTTGTCATATAGACATCAGGCCAGTTGAGTGTGATACAGAAAATGATTGTAATGACGAAATTTTTAGCCTTGAATCTGTTAAAGTTGAGGAAGAGAATATCGAAGATGAGAATTCCAAATTTGAAGAAAATGGGAATCATGAAACAGGTAAGGATATACACATTTTGTGATATGGTTAAAATAAGTACAGTTTACCTAATGGCAAGTGGCAAGCAATTTGTTACTGTAGCCCATGGACACAAAATAAGAGGGCTTCATATGCAAGGTACTGGATTTACTGATTTGCCTTTGCCTAAATTCAAAGTGCATGTAAAAAGCACTCTTATGGAATAAGAAAAATACGAATTAAATAATTATTTTAAAAGATAAGCATATTAAGCATGAACATTATAATGAGCTTCGTTAGACACTGCATCTACATTTTGATTCTTAAGAGGATGTAGACATCTTTGGTTACAGCATCCACTTACTATTAGGTGGACTGTGTGCCCGTTAGTCATAGCCTGAAAATACGGTATATATTAAAATGTCGTCTGCTAATTATTTATACTGATATATTTAAATAATCAGTATAATAAAATCAAACATTAAAACTGTGCTAGCCATGATTTTCATCATATTTCATTTTCCACAATAGCACTGCTGGTCAAAACGCACACACAACAGAAATAATGTTAGTGTAAAAAAGAATGCTGAATCAACAATATTATGGGTGCCAGCAGAAATGGAACTCGGGTACAGTACGCGAGCAGGGGTTAGGCTTACCTGGGGTACTTCTAACCCCTGAGCTGACAGGGCTTTTTTGGTGTTTTTTTAATGGCTCTATCTTAATCGTCTCATAAACTTCCCCTGCTGAACATGGATGAATCTCTCCTGATGTAGGGAGAATTTGCCTTAATAGTCACGCTTGGCATAGGATTATATGTGGTAGAGACATGCTGCAGCTATATTAATAGTATACTTGTAGCACGAATGGGTCGGCTCGACCGGGGAAGAACCACACTCTCACAGATTACCAGCGTAAAATAGCAGCCTAGTGCTGCTGTATTTCGTATGATGAGTGTAGAGAACTGGACACCCCTTTTACTGGAAACGAGGCATTCCATTTTAGCCCTCACGGGTGACAATGCATCTGCATTTTGATTCGTAATTGAAGATAGATGTAGATGTCCTGTGATGTGTAGATGTAGATGAGGTGTGACCACTTACCATCAGATGGACTGTATGCTCGCTTGTCACCCTTATCCTATAAAAAAAAGGATTGAGGATAGCAAAACCAGACATGAGCACCTCTGACAATATTGCCTGTCGCCCGTCTGGTTATTTTACATCTGAAGTAAACGAGTATCATTCGAATTTAGTTTCCTTACCATTCTTTCCTCCAAAAATGAATATGAGAGACATTATTCAGAGTAATTGGCTAAAATACTTTATTTCTGGCAATATTTAAAAGTATAGTTATGTAAAATATTAAAATTTCTCTATTTCTCTCTGGGTTGATTAATAGAGAATGCCATAAGACATATACTCCACCCATTGTAAACCGTCTAAGGTGTCTTACAATAAAGATGCTTTAAATAAAAAAGAAATGTTTAATTTGTGTGTATTTCAGAACAACACCCCATACAAACAAATAAGTCAAATTCTATTAATTGTAACATAAACGATGTACGTAAAGAAAACCTGCAAAACGATAGTCAACCAGTTATTATTAATAAAGGAAACCATCCTGCAAAGATTATGAAAAAGAAAATTTTGAAACAAAAGAGTCTAAATATACTTACGAAAAAAACATCAGGGGCATCGTCAAAAGACATTCTCTCCAAACTCATTTCACACAGTCATAAGACGCAAAAGAACACAGACATCACTGCAGTTCGGACACAAGTTGAACAAACTCCAGTAGCACAACTAACGGAAATATTTAATTGTGATATTTGCGAATTTAAAACATCTCGTAAACGTAATATTTTGGCACATTATAAAGCGCACGTTGCTAAACAAATGTTCTGTTGTAATAATTGTGATTATAAATGTACAAATAAAAAAAAATTGATATGCCATATGAAAATACATACTAGAGAAAAACCTTTTTCGTGTAATATCTGTGAATATAAATGTATTCGAAAATATAATTTGCAAGCACATATGAAAATACATACCGGAGAAAAACCTTTTTCGTGTCATATCTGTGAATATAAATGTATTAGCAAATATATGTTGCAAACACATATTATGAGAATACATACTGGTGAAAAGCGCTTTTCGTGTAATATCTGTGAATATAAATGTATTCAAAAAAGTAACTTGTTAACACATATGAAAATACATACTGGAGAAAAACCTTTTTCGTGTAATATCTGTGAATATAAAAGTATTAGAAAAGGTGATTTGCAATCACATATCAAAATACATGCCGGAGAAAAACCTTTTTCGTGTAATATCTGTGAATATAAAAGTATTAGAAAAGGTGATTTGCAATCACATATCAAAATACATACTGGAGAAAAACCTTTTTCGTGTAATATCTGTAAATATCAATGTATTCAAAAAAGTAATTTGCAATCACATATGAAAATACATACTGGAGAAAAACCTTTTTCGTGTCATATCTGTAAATATCACTGTATTCAAAAAAATAATTTGCAAAAACATATGAAAATACACACTAGAGAAAAACCTTTTTCGTGAAACATCTGGTAAAATGTGAGCATATTATGTAAATATAAAAGTGTACCATATAAAAATCTATTTTTTATGAATTTCTTATGAAATTATAAAACAAGTAGAAAAACCCATCTGTGCCTGCCCTTATGTGCTAATAGAAACTGCATTTATGAAGATGCTAATTCAAAAACCAAAAACTGAAATATAACAATACTTTAAAATATGAACGAAATGGGAGGTTAGTGGACAAAGACCAGACATTCATGTTTTTAAAGGATAGCTTATGTTTTTCTTTTCGACGTTTATCGTTACCGTTACTGCCTATAAAAGTTCTCTGTTGGACATAGGCTTCCCACATGGTTTGCTCATGCTCGCCCAAATTTAATTTAAGTTGTTATTAGTAAGACGCTGCTGCCTGCCTCCTGGTTTATCTTCCTCCGTCGCCTCTTACGACACCCACGGGACGATATGGGCCGTGGATATTCTTACACCGCCGCTACACGGTTCATATAATTATTATTTGAACTTTACAGTAACTAGTTTTACCCTGATGATGCCGTGATGGCGAAACCGGTTGGTTTTTATAGTTAGTATATTAATAATTTAAAATAAATTTTGTGAAACGTGTAAAAGTGTTTATGCTAATCACAAAAATATCTAGTTTTACTCAAAAGCAACCGGCCACAGGTAATTTTAGTTATGAATAAGTCTAATGCACCTAAGTTTCATCAACCGCAATCGGCTGCACCTAACTGTGGCCAGCTAAACCTCAGTGTAACCGAATTTCCGCTTTTAGCCGTAACATATATGTCGGAACTTCATCACAAGATCCCACTTCTGATATCACAAATATATCAGGATAAGGTTAATTGTTAAAAATATAAGTGTGAGAGCGGATGTTGAACTTGCTCTCTTGTTTACGCAATTAATCATTATCAGCAATAAAACAGCGTAATGTAGGGTAAAACACCCAGTAGTCAGCCTTTTAGTGAGGACGAAAATTTGATTCAATTGTATTTTAAATATTATATATTATGTAAAAAAACAATCATTATTCTCAGAAAGGTTGTAATTATGTTATAATATTAAATTTACTAAAGAAATCAACAACACATTATATTTATAATAGAATTACATAAAAAATCAACATTAAACAAATGCCACTCAAGAACCTTTATTCCCCATCGATTGTCAGATCTTCGAGCTATATGGCCGGCCCATTGACACTTCAGCTTACTAATTCTTTGGGCTATGACGGTTACTTTGGTTCTACTGCGGATATCCTCGTGTTTAGTCTATCACACAGAAAAACACTGAGCATAGCCCTCTCCATAGCTCGCTGAGCTACTTTGAGCTTCCTCATACGGCCAGCAGTGAAGGACCACGTCTCAGATCCATAAGTAATCACTGGCAACACGCACATTTCAAATGTACCATGCAAGACAATTGTCACATCCAATATTCTTTAAGTCAATAATTTCAGTGTCGCTAGTCAATTCCTCTTCACAGTTTTTGCAGCTTTCTTTGTTTATTGTACATATAATATTAAATTATAAATAAGATAAGTATCATATTTTTCTTCCTCCTTTTGCTATTTTTGCAATTCAACAGCTTTTACACTTTCCTTTTTTTCTAATTCTGCTTTCTTATTTGAGTGTCTTCTTCTTTCTTTGTTTTAGCTTCAAATCTCTAATTTTTTTGAATCAATACATCGTTCTTTTTCTGTTGCTTAACTTCTTCTTTTTGTTTCTGAAATTTTCTCCACTCTTTGGAAGAAACAGCTCCTAATCGTTTCATCCCATTTCTAATCGCCCCCACAACTTGTGTTAATTGCTCTTCTTTGTATTGATGGATGGATTTTTGACATGATGGAATTCTAAAACAAATTATTTTCATGCTAAAATAACCGTGCACACATTTAACCCTTATTAAAAAGGCTTTAAGGTACTATTTTGTGCAACAGGACTAACGGCTGACTACTGGATTTGTAGACCTATTGGTCGGCGCCTGACATGCTGTTACATTTGTACGCGGCTGACTACTGGTAAAATACACTTTTCGTCTTATAAGAGTTAAACCCAAAGTAATAAGCAAAATTGGTACTATTCTTTCCGTTAATTTCAACTGTATATAAGAAAATCACGAAAATACCAGTAGTCAGCCACTTATGGCCGAGTACTGGATCTACCTTAAAAATTCGAAACCCACCAGTCGGCCACCTAAATTACAACATATTAAACAAATAAAATGCGTGTAATAGTTAATTTCATCACAAAGTAAAAATTTTATTGTAACACAGTATAACAATCCACCACAAATTACAACAAATACACACAAAAATTTACCGAAAACTCGAGCACGTTTCCTTAAGAAAAAAATTGCAACAGCGACGCATCTAGCCATGTCTTTGGCAGCAGTGCAAATTAACGAGTGTAGCTCGTGAACCTGACACGCTGTTGGTTCGCAGGTGTGCGTATTAGTTAATAAGGAGACACAGATTCAATTAGGCCCGCCACATACATACGGAATTCCGTTTCGATATTCCGATTCGAGATTCCGATCGCAGCAAATTCATATAAAATATATGACCCGTCACACACGTACGGTAGTTTTTCGTTCGAAATTTTGCGGGCAAAACGGGATTCCGTATGTGTGTTGCCGACCCGTTCGGAATTCCGTATGTATGTGGCCGGCCTTAAACGTTATTTTAACGGTGTAAACAAATTTAAACACTATTTATATAGAAATAATGTCTGTAAAGGCTGAGTACTGGTGCGGGGCTGACTACTGGGTGCTTTACCCTACTATACATTCAGTATAGCGCTATCGCAATCAAACACTGGTGTAACGTGAAGGACATAATTACATGACAACACCAAAGTATGCAAATCAACACTAATAACATCTCAATGTAACACAGAGCAGCCTCAGCAACACCATATTCCTCGCCTGCGCCACAAGAATCCACCACTACAGGCAGAACCACGATACTATCTTAGCGCAGTGAACTTTATAATTTTAAACATTTAATTAAAATTTTATACTGCACAAACGCGTGGGGGGTTTCTCAATATACCCTCAATTCCACCTCGCCACTATCGATATGATACTCAGCTAGAGTAACGCCAACCTCTCTAGACACGTCGATATATATAGGCAGATTGTATCATAGACTTAGAATTAGACATGGGCAATGTGTATCACTTAAAAGAAAAGATTGATATGTATCTTTTGATCACTAGGATATGTATCACTCTTTTATATCTTTATATCCTTATGTATCAGTAGATCATGCTCGCGTTCACGACACGCATCGCATTACATTTCGTTGCTCACTCAGCGTGGCTCGCTTCGCTCAACTCAATCCTATCAGTAAGAGTGATAGATACCTATCGACCTATATATAAGACCTATAGAGCTGTTTGCATTTTGCTTGGTCATAACATTGTGCATCTTTCTGATATATTTGGTTGCTGTTTCTTTCTAGGTATTTTTTAATCATAACAAATAGTGTTATAATCAAAAAATTAATTTTTTTTATTTCTCAGACATGCCGGTTTCCTCACGATGTTTTCCTTCATCGTCGAACACGTGGTAAATCAGCACTTAAAATTGCAATCAACAATTTCATTGGTGCCGGCGGGGATCGAACCCGGGTTGCTCGCGTACTGTGAAACTTACAGCGATCGCTATTATTGTTATGATTGATAAATATTAATAGGCACTTATGGTCCGAGAGCTCATGACGCATTTTTCATGAAGTGTTTGATGCATCATGAAACTTTGTTTAAAGGTATCAGTCGACTCAATAAGCAGGTATATGACTGTCTGCCTGGCCTACCTGGGTACACCTGGTACTGCGCATACAGTTAAGTCACAAAAAAATTTGCCCAAAAAAAGTGTTTGATTCAAATAATAATAATGACTATCCGTTAGCTAAGTTTATAAACAATTAAGAAAAACAATGGCAGACACTTCTGAAGGGGTTTACATAGGGGCAGACGACCACAAAGTTGTATTTTCAAAAATTCCAAAAAAAGTGTTTGATTCAGTCTGCCATTTTTACAGCGTGTTTATTATATATAATATAAAAAAAGTGATAACATAAGTATTTATATGGAATATGGAGCTGCAAACAAGAAACGAGTCATTAATATTATTATATACTAGCTGTGCCCGCGGCGTAGCTCGCGAATATAGGTTTTACTTAAAGAATTTGACGTTTAGGGTAAGAGAATATTAACCGATTTATATCATTACTCTATGAATAAGTGATAACAAAATAAATCGATATTCTCAAAGTTCTAAGTCGTTTATGATAGAGCTTCTGTGTAAACGACGATAGAAGTAGACTTAGCCGGGGCGTACAGAAAAAGATTACGGGGACTGCTAACGCGAGAAAAAGCAATATAGAGCTGGCCATGTGCAAAACAATCAGTACTGACGCGTAAAGTTTGACCTTGCGCTTTATTTACGATCGTCGCATAACACACGCTGAGTGGGAAACACACTTAAAATAGGGATGTTAGATGATCATCAATGTTAAAAATTAAAACTTCGATGTTTTAACATCGATGTTGACATATGTCAAACATCGAAACATCGACGTCAATGAACCCATAATCGATAATTGGGAACTTGCAAACAATGCGAACTCGCGAAATCAATATCAACTAAATCATGCATCTGCTCTGAAGATTAAAAATTTTGAATAATTCAGTATTTCTGAACGCATCGTTAATCTAAAAACATGTCAGTATGGTGAGTCAAACTTAATTGTCAAGTGTCTCCTGTAATGTCATAATGGTCACTGCTTTCGCTTTATTTTGTAGTGTCGTTGTCGGTTGTCGCATAATAACTATTCTACATAAATTGATATTCAAGTTAATTGTTACTTTTCCCTTACTGTGTATACCCACATAATTTTAACCTCTCAGACCTTGACATTTTATTGGACATATTTAGTTAGAACTATGGTCAAGCCAAAGAGTATAGTAGGTCAGGCCAGACGATTTTTTAAAAAAAATGGTAAAAATAACTTAGAGTCATTACTATGTTCATATCCAAAAATAAAA